AACTGAGATGTGTTTCCAGACTTTCCTAAATGACCCTGAGGGGAGGCATACAAAGTTGTTTCCAGTTGAAAACCACTGGTGCAGATGTTTTTGGTACTGAGGTTGGGTTTTTACCATTGATTCTGCTTTACCAACAAGATTGAGTTTCGAATTGAGAAAACTAAGACCCGAACATTGATCTCTCATCTAGAATAAATATGCTATAGTATTAAAACAAGTTTTATTCTTGCTGATTTGAAAATGAAGCCCTTTCACTGTTCCTTACCAGGCGGACAGTGCATTGTTAGAGCTTGAAGAACATTTCAAGTGAAAGCACATTCAGTTCTGTGCTAAGGTGTGTACTGTTTGGTTGTTAGTGTCATTTGTAGCTGGATGTGGTGGTGCACACCCGTAATTCCACACTCTAGAGACTAAAGCAGGAGTATTGCCATCCATTCAAGGCCAGTTTAGAATACATTGTAAGACCCTGTCTCAAAAACAAAACAAAAACAGAAGCCAGTGTTTGTCTTGCAATTATTTCAGCAGACAAGCGTATCAAAAGTGAGTTTTTGTGTTTTGTTTTGTTTTGCTGTTGGGAATTAAACTCAGGTTCTTGTCCAGCTTCTGTCCCACTGAGCTACACCTCTGACCCTCCAACAGCATTTGTTAGGCTGGATTCCTATGATAATATATTTCTGTGAAATAGACACCATTCGCAATCATCTGGTCTCCTGAGAGTGCCACTAATTACAAAGTTCAAGTTTAGGTGGACAAGCAAAACAAAACGAAACGTTATTTGCAGAATCTAGGTGATAGAATGTGTGTAAAAACTTTCAACTTGTGTATTTGAGAATTTTCATCAAAATGTTGGTGGGAAGATTAACTTTTAGAACTACTGTTTTTTGACTTTCTTTGCATTTCTTTTATTTCAGTTGGATGTGGCTCAGTTGCTAATATAGTAATTAGGGAATACAATAAGTGATTCAAAATCCAGGCCCTAATTTTATGTGTATCTTACTTAAGATGGTGATACACCGCTGAATAAAATATGGAAATATTTTTGAATGAAAGCCATCATAGAGAAGTGTGATGTATTATAATTTTACTTTCATGTCATTCTCAAGGCATTTCTTGATTTCTGAGTGTTAAGGTTAAGTTACAGATTCTCACCACTCTTTAGTATTTAGGAGTGTTTGTCTTTGGAAAGCATTCACCTCCCTGCCTCTTCATACCCTTTTCCTACTGTCTCAACTAAAACTTTCATAAAATGTATCACTTAAATTGTGATTAGAATGTCTCTTTGTTTAGTTTTAGTGTGATTATGGCAGCATCTGAGATGTAGGAAATATTTAATAAATACTTCCTAATGAAAGAATAGGAGAAATGGGGTGGAGGTATCTTTCCTTCTTTTCCTGTTAGAGATTCTTTTATTCTCTCAATTCAGAATTGGATTTTTTAAAGAATGTGTAAAGTATTTGAAAGATTACTGTACTTATCTAAAATGTTTGTGAAATAGTCTAGAAAGTTTTTGTTTTTGTTTTTTTTTTTTTTTTTTGGTCTTTTTCCTTTTTATCGGTACCGGGGATCCAACTCACGACTGCCTGCTTGCAAGGCAGGTGCTTATGCCACTAAGCTAAATCCCCAGCCCCTAGAAAGATTTTTGTATGCAAACCACTTGCAGGTTAGAATCCCCTAGCTCACATAAGAACAGGGAGTACAAAATGGCTCCTAAGGCAGAGACAGGAGACCCTGATGCCTCTAGGAGTGGCCACCATTTAAAGAGAGGACAAGGCTTTGTTAACCTGCTGTAGACATCGTTCTGTTCTGTTTTTTCCTCAAGATTCATAAAGGCTGGGTTTCTGTCTTTTGACTAAGCTTTAGAGAACCACAAATGGGATAGACATTATAGGTAGACTCAATTTTTTTCTTATGAAAAAGCTCATAGCAAAAAAGTTATAGGCAAAATTGAAGTCTTATAATTAGGAAAAAAAAATATGTGAGAGCCTGACATCTTTGAACTTTGAGACATATGATCTACAGAGATGCTAAAAGAAAATTGTCTGTTGAAAGGTATGAACTTGTTTTTAACAGATGTTAAATTGAACTAGCTATACATTAACATTTTGTATTTGACTAAATCATTATTAAAGTCATGCTGATCTGAGCCAGGGTGAATGAGGGCTGCACATCTGGAAGGCTTTGGCCTTAATTCTGAAGGGAATTTTGCCTTTGTTTTCTAGGTAGCAGTACGTTTTTACAGGGTGCAGCATAGTGTTTATGTGCAAGCATGCCTTGAAGCTCCTACTTTTTCCTTCTTAGCAAAATGTGCTAGCAACTTTTTATCTATGATTACATTTTCACAAGTTATTCTAAGAGAAGAAACAGAATTAGCAAATGCTATCAGATAATACGTTCGTTTCCAGATACTGATAAAATTGGGGATACATGATTCTTTTTTTTTTTTTTTTTTGAGACAGGGTCTTACTGCATAATCCAGGCTGGCCTCACACTCTCAGTGATCTTTCTACCTTAGCCTCAGACACGTACCACCACACCCAGCTGGACATAATTTTTTATGAAGAAAATATGTCTCTATTTTCCTTGAGTCCTGAGGATATTTCAATAGTATTATTACTACTGTAATGAGTATTTGTAGGAAATGGGCTGTTGGTTGGTTTAGCAGTACTGGGTTTGAACTCAAGGCATGCACACTGAGTTATATCCCCATCCATTTTTCATTTTTTGTTTTGATATAGGGTCTTACTAAGATCCTGAGTAGCCCAGGCTGGCCTTGAACTTATTATCCTCCTGCCTCAGTCTCCTGGAGTGCTGTGCTAGCTAAGTTCCAAAGCTCTTTCAGGTTTGTTTATTCTCTTGACATGCTGTTGATAAAGCAATACAAAATGTGCCTTGACAAGGTACCCTCACCTTCCTGATCCAGCAGATATTCTGTGAACCTGCCCCTTTTATTTAAAATATTAGAAGTCAGTGGATTCCTTGTAAAACAGATCATGGAAGCACTGTGTTATGTAGTGTTTACAAATGGCTGGAAATGAATAGGATTGAAAATTGATGGACTTTGTGATAAAATAGATGTTTAAATTTTAAATGGGAAATATTCACACAGAGGAGACTTTAGTCATTGCACAGCAAAACTTGTAACACATGTAGAACAAGGATCCACAAACTTTGTCTGTAAAGGGTAAGATGGTAAATACTTTAGAGCTTTGTGGGCGAGTCTATGTTATAAGACCTCATCTGTGCAGTTGAAAGTAAAGAAACCATAGGGTACGTGTCAGTGAATAAGTGTGACCTTGTTCCATTGAGACTTTTATTTACATACATTGAAATTTGAATTTCATATGATTTTCAAGTGTCACAAAATGTTTGTCTTTTGACACCTGCCCCCCCCAACCTTTAAAACTTTGAAACCTTTTTAACTTAACATGTCATACAAAAACAGGGGATATAGCATGTTTACTGATCCTAAGTCTCACTAAAACATGACATGACGGTGGGTAGACCCGTGGGCTAATTTGCTTTGTGTCTTTTCTTTTTTGTACCTGGCATCGAACTCACAGCCTTGCACTTGCCAGGCAGGCACTCATGCCACTGAGCTAAATTCCCAGCCCTGTATCTTTTCTTGATATCACAGGAAGTACAAAAGATAGTGTAAGATTTGCTTTATAATTGAAGTGAGAGGAGGAGAGATACAGTCACTGTGGTAGGACTTAATGGTATGAGAGCACTCAGGTTTTTCACATCTGCTCAGAATGCAAAAGGAACAGCATTAAGTTTAACAGGTACAGTTCCTTAAACGCCGCAGTGCACAGTACTTGGTGAGGATGTCTTCTGGATATCACTGCAGAACCCTTTGAAGGTTCTGGCAAGATAGCCTCATAATACATTGCTTAGAATGACCCCTGAGTGTCTTCTCTAAGTATACAAGAAAATAAAAGGAAAAGACCTATACAGAAATAGAGTGTTTTATTGACTTTCGCTGTGACAGAGCTCTTACATCTGTTATTCAGAGGCAAGCTTAAGTGAGCAAAAGATTGCTACTAATTTATTCAGTATTTGAAGTGTTAGTGTTGGCAAGGTATTTGGAAATGTTGCAAAATATAAAGTATTTTCAGAGTTTTGACCCAGGAATGTAGGTTAGGATTTTACCAATCTTGTTCCCTTTGTAGTATAGTAAAATGCTTTTTCTTTACTTTGATTTCTTCCATCTTCTAAGGTAGATGAAAAACAAAGTTGACTAGTTCCAAGGGAAATACTCCCAGTGAAGGAAATAGCTAATCTTGTCAAGGATAGAGAAATTTTTCTTGAACCATTTAATGAAGAGCAGGTAGAAAAAAGCAGCACAAGAAGCAGCAGGACCAGTTACTGTGTTTGTTTCATGAGTCAAATGGAATTTGGTTTTTTGTTTTTATGTTTAACTCCTTTCAAAATGAGTTTTGTGTGTTTGTTTAATATCAAGGAAAACATTAAATTTTAGAAACTACAACTTTTTCTATATTAATTTTCTGTCCATGGGTTTTTGTATGCTGCCTATAAGTGAGAAAAATGCAAAAGATGCTAGATGTCTTTTTTTTAATGCTAGATGTCTTAAAGCTGCATAATTTCATTTGAAATTGATTGTTGACAATATTTTTAAAATAAAATTAGAAAAAAATTGGCTAGTAAATGTAAATTTGCATTGTTTAGCGTATCGAACCAGTTGAGGTTACTTGGATCAGCTTTAATAAATATGATCCTAAACAAACAAAATGACTTTAGGTATTTTAAAAGTACTTTGAAATACAAGTAACGTTTTTAGCATTCTCTTATATATATTTTTATTTTTTGGGGGAAAATAGACATCACCTGTGGTTTCCCTATGAAACTTCTATATCTCTTTGGCTAATACACTGGAATGAAATTAAGGAAGCTTGGGGTGTTTCTGTTGGAAGACAGGAAGAATGTCAGTGATTTTTGACTGGAATTGATGAGTTCTGTGTATCACTTTTTTTTCCCCCCAGTGAAACCAGCAGTGTGTGTAGCAGCAGTGACGCCGGGCTCTTTACCAATGATGAAGGACGGCAAGGTAATCTCTATCCCAGCTTTGGACTATTGGTTCATTGTTTATGAGAGGATTAATGATTATAGGACTGGGGCTGGGGATTTAGCTTAGTGGCATAAGCGCCTGCCTTGCAAGTATGTGGTCATGAGTTTGATCCCTGGTACTGATAAAAAGAAAGAGACAAAAAAAAATGATTATAGGACTGACTCACTGAATACAGAGATTGTCTCTGGCAGTTCTGAAATTTTAGGACACATGTGAGCCATGTGGGAAACTATTAGCACTGCAAATAGCTCCTGGAAACTAAATAGGCCTACAATTGGCTCCTGAATCTGCATTTTCTCCCAGTATCTAAAGTATCCAAGTATCTTAGGCAGGTCGTTCATATTTTGAGACTCAGTGGTCTCGGATAGTGATGGTGAACCCTGTAGAGCTTTCATTGATAACAGACAGCTAGCTGCCACGCACTTGCCATCACTGGTCTAGGGGGTTAAAGTGTCAAGGCTGGGACTTTGGGAATACTTTTTCTTGGAACCATGGAATATTCTTACTGTACTATTCCCTTTTTTGGATAAAATATTTTTATTTTTGTAGAGAGAATTTTACCTTCTTTGTAAGTGATTATAGTGTGCTAGGTGAATATTTTATATAAAATGTCTTCTCTCAATTTAAAATGCCTAAATATTAATATAAAGCCCCGTGAATAAAAGAAGTGTATGTTAATTTCTAGCTCTTTATTTTTACTACTTAAAGAATAATTTGAAATTTCACATTGGTATGAAGCCATTTTACTCAATTCTTGTTCTCTAGACTTACATAGGATCCCACTACTTGTATGCCAATAAGAATTTCATTCCTTTTCAGATTGTATTTTTCTTAATCTACTCAAGAAATGTGTAGATCTCCGAAATCCCTTCTAGTGCTGAAATCCAATGATCTTTCTGCAAAGGTTGAGTGATTAAAGGACAGGCACAATGGCTGCATGTCTAGGTCAGTCTAGTTAGGCTCCCTAGAATTGGAGAATCCGGGTCCTCTGGAAAGGGCCTGTGGAGAGGGTATCTCAGCCACACCTCAGAGTTGTAGGATAGAGACAGCTTCATCTCCATGCGGTCATTGTGCTTTCTCCTATAAAGGAGGCTATTGTGAGTAGCTTTTTCCTCCCTGATTTTGAGAGAACCAGGAATCCCTAGAGGCTGAGGATGCGCAGATAGGCTCCTCAAGCTAGTCTTGATTCTGTTATGCTAAGAAAGGCTGGTTGTCTTACGTGGATGATCTGGCATATACTCTTTAGTTACTAGTGTTTGCCCTTTTTCTTTGATTTTACTACTTTTCAGAGGTTATGAGTTACACAGAGGTGTAAGAAAATGTGGATCTGTTACAGTAAATCAGGTTTTGAGCCTTCAGAAAGTATTTTCATTAAAAAAGACTGCTCGATTTACATTGAAAGCTTATAGAATAGTCTGCAGCCTCAACTCTTTGTCTCTGTCTCACTTTTACACATTTAGTGGTTTTTAGATGCTTAAAGTTCTCAGCGCAAAGCAGTGCTAATTTCAGTTTCCATATCATTGTTTATGCTGGTCTCTGTTTGAAATCTTGTCGTTATTTTTCCTTGACTTGCAGACACTGGTCTTCTTTTGCCCCTTTGGGGCACAGTCATGGCTATGTCAGTGGACTTTTTTGCTTACAGTTTTCTATTGTATTTGTCTAATAGGAGGCATCAAAAGAAGAGTGGAGAAATGAATGAGATTGGTTGTATTAATGAAATTTTTATTATGATAATGCTGCTTAACTGCCCTACAATTTCAGTGGTTGACCACATTTATTTCTTGCCTCGGGTTGTGGGTTGGCTGTGGTTCATTTGATCTTGCCTGGACTCAGCTGGTTTCTGGGCTTCAAGTTTTATCTACTCCTTGCATCTTTTTAGGCTAAAGAAGCAGGATGGAATTCTCATGCCGGAAGACATAAATGCCAAGTGACCAAGCCAGACTTGCGTATTTAAGCCTTTGTTTAAATCACACCTATTAATGTTCTGCTACTTTCGGCAAGGCATGTGACCAAGCTCAGCTTCATGAGGATGAGGAAGCGCGCTCTGTCTGATGGAGAAGGAAGGCACCATGGCAAAGGGCGGGGGTGTGGATGAATTATTCTGTTACAGGGAGGTCCTGAGGACATTGGGTTATAGCTTTCCCTGGCTGCCTTTCTGTTGGGTTGTCTGTTGACAGTCGTTTCGTTCCTCTGTTGGAAACTGCTTCTTCTGTTTGACAGATTTTGCCCAGTAGTGCAGTTCTCTCTCTGGGCTCTGATAACCATTCTTTCCCACTCCAGGTCTAGCACTGGTAAAAGCTGCTTGCTGTGCTGGCTTTGGGTATCAGCATTTCTTGTTGGTTTCTTGGTCTGTATCTCTGTAACCTTGTAAATAGTCACTTAATGAAAATACCCTCAAGTATCCTGTTTCCGTGTGCATGTTTACTGAAAAGATTCTGACTGATAGCCCTTACTCTTTCTTTGTGCCACTGTATTTTTGTGTTATTAAGAATTGAATCGAGGGCCTTCCACTGAGCCATGTCCTCAGCCCTCCTTTTATACTTTAAATTTTGAGACAAAAATCCTTCTAAGTCACTAAATTGCCCAAGCTGGGTTCAGATTTTCAGTCTTCTTGCTTAGCCTCCTGGAGTGCTGAGAGTATAGGCATGCACCACTGTGCCTGGCTATCGTTCACTTTTTATGAGAAATTTGAATATAGGAAAAAAAAAACCCTTAAGAGTAGCTAGCTTTGCAATAAGGAATATGTATAGTTTTAAATCCCTGTGTTTACCTGTACACAGAGAACGGTAAGGGAGGCAGTTTATTTTTTGTGGGAGAGACCTCAGGTTTGGAGTCAGTGATATTTTGGATTCAGAATCTAGCTTTTATCATTTATCAACTTAACCTTGACTTCATTGGCTGTTATTTGCCTCATTGTAAGCTGGAGTTAGTGCAGAGGTTGGCAGAAATAACATAGTCGTGGATTTTTAGCCTGGATCCTTGTGGGTTGTAAAGGCTTAATAAGTGGTAGCCTTATTAAACATTGTAATCTAACAGCATGCTATTCATGCGAACCTTGTTTGATGTCTCAGTTTTCATCATATGTATATCAAGAAGAAAGACCTGAACAGTTTTTTGCTACTTTTATTTAATTAAAATATAGTCAGAATGATAGCACGAGAAATGATCCTCCTATTTGGTTCCTCTTAATTCATGTTACAATTCTGGCTTACACTGTGATCTGTTTGCTTTAGGGGACGATGAACAGAGTGACTGGTTCTATGAAGGAGAATGCGTCCCTGGATTCACTGTTCCTAATCTTCTGCCCAAGTGGGCTCCTGATCATTGTGCTGAAGTAGAAAGAATGGATTCTGGGCTGGATAAACTTTCAGATTCTACATTCCTTTTACCTTCTCGGCCTGCTCAGAGAGGTGAGTTTTGAGGATACTAAAATACAATTGATGTTTTGATGATTCTCTTTGGCAAAAATCATCATGCTGTACTCAAACATGCTCACACCTCTAAGCACATATTACTATCTGAATTGTAGGGCTAGCCAGGGACTTCCTAGAGCAGAGATGGCGACCCTTCAGAGCTTTCAAACAGCCCGTTGCGGCATGTGTACCGTTCATCACACCGCAGAGGGTTTAAGAGTGAGTTTTGGGGCTTGTCCTTTCCTACCTCGGTCAGTCCATGGAGTCTCTCAGGGTCCGTTTTAGCATGACATCTCTTCAGCTTGCCATTTTGTGCCAGGTTTAGGAAGGCTAGCTTAGTGTCACAGCTGCTTACCTTGCTGTAAAACTGATGAACTACTGAGTTTCATTGGAAGCCCAAAATATTATCTCATAGAAAAAAATAGGGTTTAATAAGAACATTCATATACAAGATTAATGGCATATTAAGTGGATGATTTAAAAATACTTTTTAAATGTTATTTTAATGATTATATTATTGCATACTTTAACACATATACATATCCTTTCCCTTTGTTCTTTCACTTGTGAGTTAGCAAAACAGGGTGGAAAGAGCGTAGGTCAGGGAGAAGGAAGTGTGGTAGTCATCTTTGGTACTGTCTTCTGGCTCTGTGGTGGTGACTACTAAGTCTCTTTATTTCCTTGAGGGATGAGGGTCATTATTTAAGATATATAACATTTAATAGGCTTCATTAGCTCTCTAAGTTTATGGTACTAGGATTCTCATTAACCAGTGATCAGCCAGTTAGCCCATTATTAATTATTTGTTAAGTAATATTGGTGGTCAGAATACACTAAGACTATAAACTCCTATTTTGTAGGGATTTATTTGATTTTTGTGTGTTTGATTGGCCTTCTCAAAACATTTGGTTATTGGTAAAGACTGGTTTTTGCTACCTTAATAACTTATCAGACATTTCAACAAACATTTCTATAACTCCTTTATGAACCACTTAAAAGACCCACAAGCAAGACTAGCAAGAAGAAACTTCAAATGGCCTTTAGTCCTTAACCTAGAGACCCCATCATTGATAGGTATGTAGATTCTTTGAGATGCTGTTTCTGTGGGGGACACATATAGAAGTTAGAAAAACTGTGTTTTTCTGCATTTTCTTTTCACCATTATTTCACCAGCATTTACATTTAAAACTAGAAATTATTAATAATACCTTACATTCACATAGTGTTTGTAGTTTACAGAGTATCTCCCATTATGCTTTCACTGGGTCTTTAAAACAGCTGCTGAGGTAGGACTGAGCAAGTGATTATCGCTTTACAGATGAGGGTGCCCAGCTTGAAGCTGAATGGCATGCCTGGGTTCATGCTTGAGTGACAAGGAGATGGGAGTATACATTGTTGGCAGACACCTTTCTGAAGATGCTAGGGGTAAGGGCTCCAGGGGACTAGATGCACTTGATTGCTTGTGGGGTTTCTGCATTCAGTAACTGAGGCCCTCTGTTTTTAGGGTACCACACTCGCTTGAATCGTCTGCCAGGAGCTGCAGCTCGATGCCTCAGAAAGGGGCGAAGAAGGCTGGTTGGGAAGGTGACAACTCTCATGGCTTTTGAGGCACCATAGGAAGATGATATTCCCAGTGGGGTTTGTGTGCCCTTTTGACAATCAAAGGCCCTACAGAGCTCCCTGGAGTTAAGGAAACCAACTGGAATATTTTGGGAGTTCACCTGAGTAAACATTTTGTAGAATTTGAATGAATACACACATAACAGATAAAAGCTTCATTTACAGAGAAGTTCTGGCAAGGAAAACACTCATTGCCGCCTCTGTCATGTATCAGTTCATGAACCTACTGTCTCTTCTGCACCATCCACGAGTCCTGTGGTACTGAATGAGTAAAAGTACAGTTTTGTTTTTGTTTTGTTTCTTCTTTTGAATTCAGGAATGTATCTTTGTTTAATCCTAATTTTATTTTTTTCGTTCTAAAATTCATTTTTAAAAAAGTAGACAAAAAATCTCTCTCAGTTCTAAGAGCCCTTCCTCTGCCAGGAGGGGGGAATTGCTACCATTTTTCAGGTCTGCCTTTGCCAGGGACCGTGCCAGGCACTCAGTTCACTGCTTCCTCCCAGCTGCTTTGCTCAAGGTGCCAGCCCCCTGGGGCAGCTGAGAAAAACTTAGGTTCAAAGGAGTTAGATGATGCCTGATGCTGCGTGAATCCAAGTGGCAGAATAGAGATTTGAACCCAGGGCTACTTTATCTCTCTTCGTCTTTTATTTTTTTCCCCTGTAACTTTGAGAGGGAGAAAGTAGAGTAAGGCAGGGCTCCTGCTGGTCAGAGCGGGTAGTGCTGGGCAGAGTAAGAAAGAGAGAGATCTGAGAATATTCTGTTCGCTGGGTGAGCCTTGAGCATGTGTGGCGAGCTGTGTGTGCGGTCGTCAGCCGCAGTGTGCTTCCTCTCAAAGGTCAGTTGCTTTTTGAAGCCTCGTGGGTGCTGTTTTCTGAAGTTTGAGGCATGGAAAGAAGTAAAGCTGTTTATTTCGAGACAGACTCAGATTCTTATTTCTTTAAATTCCAGTTCAAATATCCCAGTAGAAAGACGTTTGATGATTGGATTGCTCAGTTCAGTCAATAAAGTACTGCTTTTGCTGGCAGAAGGCTCCCTTCAGCTGGGCTGGAAGGAAGCGAAGGCCATTGGCCATGCCTCTAATGATGTCGCATGAGTAGGGTAATATTTACTTGTTTAATTCATCTTCATCACCTTAGAGGGATATTTGTCATTTCTAGCAGAGGTCACTGCTCTGCCCCCCTGTTTCTCCCTCCCCTGTTTCTCTTCTCTTTTTCCAAATTGTAATCATAAATAATGAGTTCCATTCACAGCTCCCTGCCAGCAAGCTGCTAATTACGCAAAGTACTGCTTGTAATTTACACAGTAATAAACTGTAAATTTAAACATTACGGCATTTTAAGTTAATAATTTTTCTGCTGTAACAAATAACTCATTTTTCATCCATCCCTTTCCTTGGCCCCCTACCATTGTGTGTCTGTAATCAGGAGGCACAGCCGTAAGGGACGAGGAATATAAAGACTGCATCTTGTGAAACCTTTTTGTTTAGCTCCATTCCTGTCCAGGATCTGACCTCAAATTAATTTTTCTAAAGCTGGTGGTTCTGCTAAAATATGTACGCTAATGTTTAGGCTAATCCGAACACAGTTGAATACGGGTAATTACATTTGCTCAGAAACAAAATGTGTTAAAGTAGCAGGCTTGACATCCTTGACATTCATGCCACTGACTTATGTCCTCTGTGTTAATCCTGGCTCCTTGTGTGACTCTTATTTGTACTGGGGTCGGTGTGCTTTCTCAGGTGTTGTGAGAGATATTCATTATTAATGTACTCAAGTTAAATGAAGGCTGAGTGCCTTCTGCCACTTTCCAATTTTTTGGAGACAATTAGTTTCTGAATTGCAGACAGTGTTTGGGTAGGCTTTAACACTACAAGCGTGAATGTCCTGAATTTACTAATCAATTTACACAAACTTCCATATTGCTTTGAGGTGATGTTTAAGGCACAGAATACAGGGTGACAACTTTTGTAAGCCACCAAAATCCTTTAACATATAGACATTCGGTCAGCAGGCATTTTGACTGTACTAGTGAGGACTCAGTGAGAGTCCCAGGGTTAGGGTCTCTGTGGTCACAGTCACACAGCCGATGGAGCTTGGTGTGCTGAGTTGATAAAAATTGGCTGCTGTTGTCAAGCATAATGCTGCATGCCGTAATCCCAGCACCGAGAGAAGCTGAGGCAGGAGAAGTCGGAAGTTGGAGTCCTATGTAGACAGTATAACAAGCCCCGTCTCAAAAAATAAAAGGGACTGGGATGTAGCTCACCATTAAAGCAATCCAGGGTTCAATTTCCAGCACCCCTCTTCCAAATTTTTTGCTGTTTAATTTTCTAAAAAAGGACTTCTATTCCTATATACATGTATAATTTCAGGAAGTATTACTATATTAAAATATCATGTATATAAAGAAATGATAAATATTTGAGGAGTAGGTATAAACTAATTTAAACAGTATAGGATATATGTATATATTGAACATCACATTGTATCCCATTGACGTATAATTTTTATGTTTTATGTATCAGTTAAAAATAAATTTCTTTTAACTCAAGTGTGGCACAGGTTTCTAATTTCAGCCCCCTGGGAGGCTGAAGCAGAAGCATTATAAGTTTGATCCCAGCCTGGACTCCCTTAATGAGAGCCTGTCTTAATATAAAAGTAAAAAGGGCTGGGGAGTATAGCCCTGGGTTCAATCCCCAGTACTGCCAAAAAACAAAATAAAAAAATAAATTTCACCTAAAGTTTAAAAGTATTATGACTTTTTTTGGATCATTAGAATAATGAGGGTATATAATCCCTTAAAGGTAGATTCCCACAAAGAACTATAGTTGCTATTAGATTTTGAGGTTGATGTTTGACATGCACATTTGAAATTGTGTGGACTGGCACAGTTTTGAGGACCGGTGAGCTGGGTGACAGATTGTCGCCTCTGTGGTTGATGATACTCTTGTCTACCTTGTGTTTCTAGGAGACCAGCGTAAGTACTCTGGGTACTGAGAGGATAAGTCATATCATCAGTGACCCCCGGCAGAAAGAGTAAGTGCTGAAATTCTTGCTGGCTGTCCTGGCCGTTCCTTAGAGACAGAAGCAGAAGCGGGCTTTGTAAAGCAACCTACAGATCAGCTTCACAGCAAAAAAAAAAAAAAAAGAGAGAGAGAGAGCTTAAATTTGTACAGTCAGGATGGTTAACCTCCTAAAACCATGGCACTGATTTGCTTTTAGTTCTTAGTTTTTACTTTCTTGCCTTTTATATTTCTAAGTGCTATACTAGTACCTGCCAGTAAGGCTATTCTATTTTAAAGTCATTTTTCTGTCTCTCAGAAATGTTTTCTTTTTGGAAAAAAAAAGTTTTTTGATTCAAAATTGGTGATCACCCTATTTTGCTATATTGTGAGTTTTTTTGTCCTAATTTCTGGGGTAAATGCCATAAAAAGCTGTGTGTAGCTCCAGAAGAATCACCCTGCCTTTTCTCATGACAGCCTGCACCCGTCACGTGGTTGGCTGGGGCAGGGGTCCTGTCTGTACACACCATGGCCAGGAACCAGTTACAATCTTGTGCACATCCGTCTAGCCTGTGTTTTAATTTACAGAGCAGGAAGAGGTACATGAGTTTGCTACTCTTAGAGAGTTGGGATCCTCCTGTAGTGTAGCTGCTCTGCAGGAAAGGCATATCACGTGTAATCTTGGGTTTACTCTCACCTGTCCTGTTATGTATGTACCATTATGAAACCTTCCACCCTTTCAAGAGTTAACTGTCAGCCAAAAAGTGTACACACAGTTAATATCTTTCTCTTTTTCTCCTCCAACTCCATCTTTTTTTCCCATTTTTTCTTTATCTTTACTTCATTATTCCACTGTTTAATCTTTTCTCTTTCCTAATATTTCTGTTACTTTTTTTTATTATTTCCATTCCTATTATTTTCTCTCCCTCTGTTTAGTTTCTGGTTACCATCAACTGGGAAAAGAGAACGAAATCAGGTAAGATCACTTTTGCCATCTTTGTTTTATCATTTGATTTCCTTTTCTTTAGAAAGAATAAAGCGTTGCCATGTGATTTTCCTCACATTTCTGCTTGTGCGCATGAGGTAAGAGTCCCTCCTCATGTTACTCTGATTTCCTTTGAGGACCGTTTTCTAATATCTGTCACCCACTAATGAGAACAGTAGCCAGTCTCCCCTTTGGAGCACAGTTGTGATCATCAGTTTTGTATAACTCATTACAAGGAAACCCTGTTTTTACCTTAGTTTTGAGCTTTGCTATGAGGAATCCGAACAAGTTCAGCATCAGAATCCCATGCTGTGCAGTCCTGAGCTGACACCTAGACATGAAGCGGAGAAGGTGGAGCTGCTTTGGGTGAAGTGGGTCAAGGCCTGGGATCTTTGCCCTCTTAAGACATTTCCCCAGCTCCACCCGAGAGGGCCCTGGGCACCTTTGGGCCTTTTCTGTAGGCTTCACAGCTTAAACATTACTTGGAGTGGCTACTGTGATACTCACTTATGTTTGAAGTTTTTAATTGGGCTTGTAAAGATTGCTTTATCTTAATAAAGAGTTGTAAGATTGATGAAGACTGATATATGTAAAAACTCCTAGGCTTCCTGTTTGCTTAGGGAACTACTTAGTATCCTATTGAGCTGAGATACAGCTTATGCTTGGAAATTTCATTGTGAAGTTACCATTTTAAAATGAAATGTAACATTGAAGACATAATGTGTATATTTATGAGACAATTTGACGTATATGGATACACTTTTAATTTTAAATTTTGTATTATAATGTACATTATCGAAATGTAATTATTATCAAGCTTATTATTTCATGGAAACATGTAGGGTAAGACTGAGTAAAAGTAATTGGTATGAAGAAAAATACTAGGTAAGCATAGTGCAAGTGAGTAGCCAGATAAAGAAAAACTCATGAAAGTTCGTGTAAAGAGACTCAGTTGGGGACTCTTAGCCAGACCACTGATCACGCTTGCATTAGAAAACCCCAAAGCAGAAGGGGACCTGTGGTCCAGATTTGTCATGTACCTATGGGGAGCTGGAGGCCCATAAAATTTAAAATATTCACCCAAGTTATAGCTAGTAGAACTGGGACTGGAGCTTCATGGTAGAACAATTACTTAGTTTACATTGTTTTTTTGTTTTAAATCAGATTTCATTGATACATTTTAAGTATACATAGTGATCACATTCATCATAGAGAATTTGTACCTGTGTATGATGTAACTTGTTTTTTCCCCCCATTCCTCTGTCTTCCCTTCAACCCCTGCTCCCCTCCTCTTTTCAAAAGCTTTGTTTCCATGTTTTCCTCTCTCTCTCTTTCTCTCCTCTCTCTCTCTGTCTCTCTGTCTCTGTCTGCTTCTCCCTTCTTTCTACATTCTCTTCAAGTATTTTTGAAGTTACCATTTTAAATTCTTTTCCTTCATGGTACTTTTAGTTATGGACTTTGAAGGAAGGATTCTTACAGGAAAACTTCAAAGAAAGCTAGTAAGCATGAAGTGAGGTGCTTTTATATGTAGTATCCCATCTGATCTTCATAACCCCCGTCTTGTTTTCGTGTTTTGATGCTCGGGATTGAAGCCAGGGTTTCATGCATACTGGACATATGCTTTACCACTGAGCTATACCCGCAACCCCACAGAACCAGCTTATGAGATCAGTAGTTGTTTTACAGATAAGAAACTGAGATTAGGCTGGAGATTTAGCTCAGCGGCATAAGCACCTGCCTTGCAAGCAGGCAGTCGTGAGTTCGAACTCCGGTACCGATAAAAAGGAAAAAGACAAAAAAAAGAAACTGAGATTACTTTACAACCTGAAAACAGTATTTCAGTTAGTCTTTAGAATAACCCTGTAACATAGTTAAGACATATAAAGCTCAAAGAGCTTATTTAATTTTCAGTACAGGATACTCAGTGGTAGACTGGGATTAAAAATTAGATATTCTAATTTTAGTCTTGTTTTACCACTATGATGCTATAGTGTGCTAACTATTTATCCTTTGAAATACTTGCAAAAATAAGGGAATAAGGGCCAGGGATTTAGCTCAGCAGCATAAGCTCCTGCCTGGTAAGCATGAGGTCATGAGTTCGATCCCTGGTACCAAAATAAATAAATAAAAAATAAGGGAATAAAGAGGTAATTTTAATCCTAGTCTTCTTGGGGCAAAGGGTAGATATGTCATTGTAATTAAGCATAAGTTCCTGTTACGTTTATTGGAAAGTACTGTCTTCTGCTATTTAAATGATTATTGTCTTAGAAGTTTTGAAAAATTGTTGCTTTAACATGTAATAGTATTTTTTTGAGGTATGCTAGACCAAGCATACCACATTCATGGGCATACGAATATGCATAATTTTATTGAATGGTATCTGTTCAGTAAGAAAGAAGTTGGACAAAGAGGAAAAACAAATAGGCTATCCTGTGGGACTGCTCCGTTCCATTAAACCTTAGTAAAATAGTATTATTTGTCTCCACAGTTGAATCCCCTCTCTCCCCTTTACTCCTTGGATGTTTTTGCTGATGCTTCTCACCGAAGATGTTCACCAGCGCACTGCTCTGCCAGGTATTGTCTCCCAGTGGGTGCTGCCTGCCATGTGGCCTTCTGTAACACGTCAGATTGTAAAGGATGCTTGTGTGTAGGATCTAGTTTGATCCTTAAAACAACCTTCAGAGGTAAAGTAGCTGTTCTACAGATGCAGAAACTGGCTGAGTGTGCTGAGATCTTTCTTGTGGTCACATGGCTAGTGTGTGATGAAGTCTCAACTGTATCCTGAGTCTTCTGGCTCATATTTCCTATTATTTCCATTGCTAAAAAGTCCCATCTTCAAAGAATGTTATTAGTGTTCCTTGCCATGACCTGCAAAGCCCTGCATAATCTGATTTCTACACGCATGTCCAGCCTCCTTTCAGTAATTCTTCCTGCCTCTCTGGGGGAAGAGATGTAGCTGCACCGGGGAGCTCCAGCTGCTCTTCAGAAGTAGCAGCCTTTTCTTCCTTGGTCCTTCACTCTTGTTCCCTTTGCTTGGAGACCTCAAACCTCTGCTTGTCTCAGCTGGAGTGTGGCCACCTCTCTGACCATTCTATCGAATGGATGCAACACTCTGTGCTTATTATCTGTTTGTTTCCTTTATGGCTCTCACAGTCTGGAATGAATTTGCATATTCATTTAAAAAATTATAATTTTTTTCTCTCCCCCCTGTCTTTCCCATTGACTATAAGCTTCAAAGTTCAGAGACCTTGTTTTATTCCTCAACAAATCCTCAGCACCTTGTCTGGCACTTGTCAGGCATTCAGTGTGTATTTGTCAAGTGAATGAACCCTATTCTTATAAATTCTCTTGACTTAGGTGAAATAAGTAACTATGGTTTCAATGCTAGCATTCCTTGGGGTTATTGTACAAAAGAGCAGCTTACAGACTAGACTGTAGAACTTTTATTATTTTGATGCTACAGATTCTTTCCAAGGTTTTGATGATTTTCTTTCTTCCTAGTAAGTTCTTCAGTAGATTTTTAATAGGTTTGGGGGTACAGGCTGCACAAACAAGTAACTTTTTATTTATTTTTTTGTTACTTTTTATTCATATGGTTGGAACTCTCACTTCAGCTGTCATAGTGAACTCTGAACCGTAACTACTCCTAGATCTTTCTCCTGGAGAAGAAGTGGTATTTGAATAGGGAAAGTCTAGAAAAGAAAGGCCATCATAAATGGTGTTCCTAAGCACGTGGAAAAGAGTGGAGTCATGAAAACCACCGTAACCGTTCCTCAGTGGCGTGCTGTTTATTCATCATCCATTCACTTGCTGACTTGCTCCTGTGTGGGGAGCGTTTGTTAGCAGTTAGGAGGGATTCCTAACCCAGAGACCCAGAGGAGGTTTTCTTAGAGGTGATATGCTCAAAATGACACATAAGATGTCCATCCAGAGGAGAGCAGTCCTGTAGCTTTTTATCTTGATGTCAAGCAAAGTAGTGACTGTGTGTACTCTGGGAACCCGGTGTGAGTACCCTGCGTCACATTCCACGCTTAGAGTGGACTGCTTTGCCCTCCTTCTTTACCTCCGCTAGCTGGAGCTGGCAGTGCTGAAGTCAGTGTCACTGCTTTTCTTGGATTTCTGTTTCTTTGAAAGACCTCATCCTGTGACTGGCCTGGGTGGCAGCTTCTTGTTTCTCTGTGTGCCCCATTTTCCCCATCGTTACTATCTCTCTTTGTCTGGCACTGCTTGTGGCTAAACTCGGAAACATAAAGTCTCAGCTGAACTTCTGTTTCTGTTGTGCTCTGCTCTGAAGAAATGATGTTGTTGCTTCCATTGCTAAAAACAGAGAAGAGAAGTATGGGTCATCTTTGTCCTTACTTTTTGCCAGCATTCCCAGGGTAGAGCATACCGTGTGGGTTGCATGCATGAAGGATCTTTAAAGTAAGAGGAAATTACTATAAGTTTAACATCTGTTTATCTTATCCTTGAAGTTTACCTGTATTTTAAATCACATCTGTATATATATAAAATACATTTGTATTTTATGTGTACTGCATATATAATGACTATTTCCTCGAGGCCTTTTTACTTGCCAGGGTAAACAGAGTCAGTACTGTTTGGAGACCGCTGCTCTGTGGGAAAGATGAGTCAAAGTGACTTCTGCAGGTTTTAGAAAATGTAAATTATGAATCACTGAACTTTCAAGTCTATCTCTTACTATTTGGGAATAATGGGGTCTCTGCCCAGCCAAGGGTCAATGCAGAGGCAACAGTCTTCACTGCAGTATGGGAGACCAGCAGGAGCAGACTTAGAAGTGGATAGTGGGTTCTCTGCCAATGGACTGCTTAACAAAAGCCCGGCACCCAGGAGAGCCTGGGAAGGAGCAGTGGCGGTAGGGATGAGGCAGCCAAATGACTGTATTAGGAAGGATTTTGAGTGGAAATGTTATCTTTTTCTCGTCCCATTTTATTTGTAGTAGGAAAAGATTTTTTTCAAAGCATCTAGGCAGCACTGGGAATTTTACACCCATCATTAAAACGATTTGCGTGTGTTATGTGGTGACTATGTTATCATTAGTGGTATAATTTTATTTTGCAAAGAGAGAAGTGTTTCCTGTTTTATCACAGCTTTCCCTGAGGAGGGCTGGTGTATTAATTTGCTGTATTGCCTCCTGGCTGTTCCCAGGCTGTTTTTCCTCTTCATCATGGAATTTTTAATGGCCCTCCCGCCTCTTGGGAAGCATGTGAGGAAGAGTTCCTCGGGGAGTGCTTCCCTTTTTTCACATGCCTATAATTACTCTCCTTTAAGGGCACAAAGAGTCTGCTAGTCATGCCTGGACTATGAAGGTTCTCTCCTGTCAGTGCTCTGAGCTGGGGCTGCCACTAGCATGGGCACTGCCAGTTGCACCCCGCCAAGTGCCCAAGTCCTGTGTGTGCAAGCGAGGTCACCTCAAGGGCCATATACAGCTTCATTCTCAGAATGGGCCTGGGATCTCTGATGCGCGATGAGTGGCCTCAGGGTATTCTCTTGCTTATATTTCATTGCTATAAACACATAAATAATCAGACTATAATTTTAAGATAATACTGTATTGATGTATTATTTTAACACAGCTCAGATGGCAGGGAATGGGAGGGTGAGTTTTGTGGTTTTCGTGTGACTTATTAATAGATTGGTGGATTAAGAAGTTTTTCAGAAGTACCGCTCTAGGAATACTTAAGTTTTAGTGCTATTAGATCCTGGCTTCCCTTTGGAATTACATGGATAGCTTTAAAAATATATATCCTTGCTGGGCCCCACCAATAGGGATTCTGGTTTAATAGTCTGGGGTGAGGCCCAGGCTTTGGCATTATTGTAAAGCATCTCAGGTGACTACTAGGCAGCCAAGGTTAAGAACTGTGCCCTACGTGTATATGGTTTACTGGTGCTTTGTAATTTGCTTAACAGGGATTCCCATTTCATAATTGGTACAAACTCCATGCTTTGGTCTTGTGAGCACAATTCCTCTGGGAGTCAGACCCGTGGACTTCTCTTGGCTTTGGAGAAGATACAGCAGGTGAAGAAGAGTTCATGTGTTACACAATGCCCCGCATATAGTTACCGATAAACAGGGACGGGCTGAGGTCTGTGGGGTGCATGTATACAAGGTTGGTGTTCAAATGAAATTCTTAAACCAGTTGTTTTCTTTTGGTTGCTAGCATTGGGATCCCCTCCTGAGATAGAATAGTTGGAGTTAAGAATTACTGCTGCTCAGACAGCAGATGGTGTGATTGGTGTTCTGACAGAGGCAGTGGTATTGTTGTCAAGGGCACAGTCACAAATTTGTAATGAGACTTGAGCTGCAGGGAACTTTTCCCAATCTGAAAGATTGATTGATTGTAAAAGATAGCTTTTTTCCATTATTACCTATAGGAAACAATACCTGGAACTAGAATTTAACGATTGCTACATCTGTGGTACTCACGTTACAAGTTGTCGTTGTTGAGTGCTTTGTGGCAGTTTTGAGTTTTCTTTAGCTTCCATGACTTGCACCCACCGTTTCCATTTTTTTTTTTTATCTTTAAGTTGTAAAATAGCACAGCACATGTTTTATGTCTTTTCAAATCAGTCAGTTCCTTTGTAAATACTTTCATTTGAAAAATTTTATTTTCTGTTCCAGTAAGGACAGCAGACACCAAACTGTTATGTGATTATTATACATACTTGTTAATTAATGAAAAGTCTCATAGCTTCTACTCTTTTCTTCATTTTTCACAAGGTATTAGCAGAGGCACTGTGAGATTAAGAGCATGGATATTAATGTGAGATGGACCAAGCAGTAATCTTAGCTCTTCCTGGGCAGACGACCTGACCTCCCTATTCCTCAGTTTCTTCATGTTTGAAGTGGAAATATTAGCACTTTTCTTATTGGACTAGTGGGGATCAAGATGAAGTAATGTATGTAAATATTTAACATCCTGATAGCTAATATTACTTCCTTTATGGAGTTACTTCCTTAGGATAAATTGCAAATTTAAGAACTTTTGAGTTGGCTTTGGGAGTCATTTGCTGATAAGCGGCAATGTAGATTCTTGGGGTGTTTACATGACTCAAAATATTAAGAGGAGAGGAGGCTTTTGGACAGCATTTGGGTGAAAAAGAGAGAGAACTTCCTGCCCATTAGAGAGTTGAAGTAAGGTAGGCCAAGCTCATTGTAATTCATTTTATCTGTTCGGGAGCATTGTGATCTGCATATCAGAGTTGTGTGCCCAGCTGGCTGTGCCATTTGACAAGGAATTTCAAAGAGCAAGAAGAAGACTCAATTCATGCTATTAATTTTGACCTTTGGAGCCGCAATAAACAGCCTGAGGTTTTACCCCAGGGCTTGGGGGAAGGAACGTTTTATTAGTCCCCTCTGCTGGGGATGCAGTGTTACCTGCGCAGTGGCTCTGGCTCAGCCCTTTAGTGCCTTAGTTTCAGCGCGCGTGAGGAAATGTTTCTGCTGTGAAGTCCACAAGGCTGCCCACGCCTAGTAGAACCCCCCATTGTACAGTCCACAGTCCGAGTCTTGTCCTCTCTCAGAGGGCCCCGTTTACCACAGCTCTCAGCTGACT